ATGCAGCGTTCAGAGAGGTACGTATTTGAGGTGGAGTGCACATATGTGGATGTCATGTGAGACGAAACGGGGGTTGACTGCCCAACCGTAACTCCTTTTCTGGAGAGTGTGCTCTTCTTTTTTTTTTTCGCCCCTTTTGTGACAGAACAGGGAGGAATTGAGGGCCACCTTCCCACGAAAGGTCTTGAGCACATACACACTCTGATGCCACTGTCGCCCTCGAAGTTGGGTACAAAATACAAATCCTGCTGCCTTTTGCATTGGCGCAATTATTTGTTTATCAACTGACGCCATTCTGTCCGGCGTGTCATTTTGATTGGATTGTGTGGGATTGCTCGCCAAGGCCATCGAACAAAACAGGCCCACTTTTTCACGTATTTAATTGCCACCTTGCGCGCACTTATTTTTTACATGTACTGTTGATGTGTACTCAAGTAGCGAGGGATTTGGAACTATGCGTGCGTGGAATTTGTCCTGTCATTTGAACTGCGGACAACACCGAGGGGCTGCCACTTTGACTCCGCAGAGTTGTTGCGTCTCTTTGCAGGGTTGGCAGAGAAATTCCATGCCTCCTGCTACTGCTGGTGTGTCCTCATGTTGTCACTCCATGCGAAGTAATGTGCCTCAGCAAGTGAGGGTGTTGATTGGGTTTGTGTGCACTCTGATTCTGTTTGCTACTTTTTGCGGGCACGCAACACTTGAGTGGTGGGAAACTGGAGCGGGGCGATGCATGGCCGCGTCTCGCCCATCGTTCACTGCACGATGGTGTGGTGCACATTGTGGTGCTAACTCTGCGATGTGACTGCGGTCCCCTGCGCGGCAATGGTGGTGGGTGGAGGAGAGTGTTGACCCGCGGCGGGACGGTGGGATCGTGCCTCCTTTTCTCTTTGTTCCTTCCCCCTTGTGAAGGTGTGCACTTATTTTTTGTGTCGGTGATGGGGCAAACAGACCGACAACGTGAATAAAACAAAATAAAAAAGGGCGATAATGTGGCGGTGTTGGGGTTGGTTGC